ATTATTATTATTATTATATGATCACATCCATAACAAAATTCTCAATTCTGATTGGTTCTCTGCGCACCTATTCATCACATAATCGGTGCACAATCTCATCGATGTTCAATTACAGGTATCTAATTTGAACTCTTTGTAATTGGATACCCACATGATTCCCACATCAATTACACATGCTTTGATGGCTTCCCTGGTATAAAGCGCTGCAGATGTTTTCACTCAAAAGAAGTTTTCAAAAGGCATTTTTAATTCCAAAATTGTTATAGGTAGGATTAATTAGTAATTGGACCTCGTGTCATACAATTTAGCGAGTAATTGTGCTTGTAATTTCAAATTGGCCTCATGCATCATGCTCGTCTGATTTGAAATTACTTGTAGGATTACTTCCTGAATTGTACTCCACTCGGTCTAGTTACTATTCACTAACTTATTATTGTTATTGTTGTTGTTGTTGTTATTATTATTTTATTATTATTAATTGTTATTGTTATTGTCATTATTTATTACGGTTAGCCTGAATGGCACAACAGTCAGCATGTTAGCAGTTGTCTATAATAATTAACAATTTTTTGCCAAACGGTAAAGTGAACATTGGTGAATATTCACCAATGTTCACTGAGCCTGAGGCCAATAATTGTTTAGTATAATTTTCAGAGGTGAATATCAAGGACTACAAAATAACGGATTAAAACGTAAGAGCACAGATGCAATTGTTCATGTACATACACGTATGCAGCCGTAGTTTTAATTATAAGCTTACACGTGCATCAATTGTCAATCAGTTTACTCGTCGAGTTCAGCAGGAAAACAAACAAGTGAAACACTACAAATAATAAATTTGTCTGGTACCTTTGTTTTACAGTTGTCATTGCCTAAAAATGAGTAGCTTTAGTTTGAAGAAAAATAAATTGCCGTCAATCGATCTGACAGGTCTGTTGGCGATCAACGCAACCGCTGCATTTACGATTCTTAAAAGACTTGAGTATGAGTTCTTGAAAAGATTTTTGGTCCAAGGGCGACAGCAGTCATTTTCTTGAAAATTCTCCATCCTTTCAAATGTCCTGGGCTTGGAGTGATGTCTTTTGAATAAATGAAAACTTTACTCAGCAACTGTCTGCCATGTTTACTTGCCCAGATGGCAAAGATGGCAAGCTTAGAAACCAAGCTCCAGCGGGGTGAATATAGCATCATATGATGACCTTTTTGACCAACCAGAATGTCCAATTCTGATACTCACCTCTGGAAATTATACTAATATGAGTTGTTGCAATGGAAGTGATATAAATTATTGTAATGACAACACAATAAGTAAGCTTATGTAGTTGTAAATGGTAAATTTTCTGACTGCCAGACACAGAGTCTTAGAAGTACTCTCCAGCTGAGGGATATTTAGAGATACAGTGGAATTTTTAGCATGAAATTTATCTCTGGTGAGGAATTAATATTATCATGTACCTGAATCAATTTGAACCCCCCCCCCTGGTATTTGGAATTTTGAATCTTTAGTCAGTCAAATTTCTATCACAAGCCAAGCTTGGTGTTCAAATGCCTCACAAGTCCTGGTAGGCAATCCAGTGTCCCTACCCCACTACTCCACCCTACCTCAAGGAGATGCATAGCAAAAATGAGTAATGGTAAAGAAGAATATTCACTTCTGAACACCCATCCTAAAGTGTCTCAAAGATTATTTTAAATTTATAATAAAAATTATACTGTTAAATATATTAAGTGATAAAGTTTTATGGTAAGAAAAGGTTCTGCAGAACATTTGAGAATGAAAGCAGCAATATTAAAATCAAACCACTGTTCAAAATCTATGATTCCATATCATCATTATCAAATTCAAAGAACACATGATAGAATTGATTACTGTATATATTTGTGGGAAAATAGCATGAAAATATTCAGAGGTGTTAAAGTATTCAATCGTCATGTAAAAAAGTTTGGCACAAACAGAATCTGACTGCATGTTAAGTTTTGCTTTCATGTTCGTGATGAACAGGATCTCATAGATGTCATTCTGTTACTTTTGGGATGTACAATTCTGGTGCCAAGTTTGAAGAACACTGTTCAACATTTCTAGAGATACATGTAATCATGATTCATTGTTTCACTGTTTTAGAGGAACAATTTATAATGTTCATCATCACTTTCCTCACCTGCATAATACAAAAACGTAAATATCTCTAAAACTAAAAAAGATAATTATTTCAAAAGGGAAAACACCATTCTTTCCTATTTTGAAAAGCCTTTCAAGTAAGCAGCAATTATTTTCTACTTCATGGGCACTTTAACAGGCAGTCGGATTCTGTTTGCTCCAAATGTTTCATACAACAGTTGATTTGAATACTTTAACACCTTTGACTAGTGACATTATATACATGTGTCTTTTCAGTTGTCTTCATGTCAAGGATGGCTCATCGGTTGACATCTCATCACAGGGCGTTATTTTCACCAAAGTATCTCTCTGGAACATCAGCACACATTACTACAACATCATATTTCAGAACCCCATTTGATGTGAAGGACAGTGGCGACTTTAAAAAAAGAGTTCTTGCCTCAACAAAACCTGTCCTTGTGGACTTCCATGCTGAGTATGAACTGCTTTACTTTATTTTGAAAGGTTTTTATGTGTGTGTTTAGTTAGCATGACAACCTAAACAAATTCCAGTACAAACATGATAAGATTTTGTAAACTGAGAATCAAGAAACCAGATTAAACTGAATTAAGCTATTGGCACAAGTTTTTTTCCCTGAATTTAAACTTCCCATAAGCTATCATAATATTATAAGAAATTGAAGGCGAGGACTGTTGGGTGTTGAGTGTTGATTTTTTTTTTTCTTTGTATTTTTCTATTTAAATTTGTAATTGTAATTGTTTGGTAGATTTTAAGGACCTGACAATGAGAACTACAGGTAATTGTGTTATCGAATTAAGTCATTATTATTATTATTATCATTATCATTATCATTATCATTATCATTATCACTGTCACTGTCAGTATCAGTATCAGTATCAGTATTGTGGCCCCTCCTTTCAAAGCTCTACAAACACATCTGTCAGTAATATTGGTATAAAGGTACAGTAAAGCTAACTACAATGTATACTTGTACAGGCCCAATCAAGAGATGTGCACCGTTATCGTGACATGTATGTCACGTCAGCTTGTACATCCTTCCCCCCCACCTTGATCTCCATGAATGAAGAATTGTCATTTTTAACTTCTGCGGACTTTGAGGGTTTTCTCATCTCTTTGAACCTCACTGAAAGCTTTGTGCTCTTCTAGTAAGTGAAGTTTCGGTACCAGTCTGTTGATTATTCCTTTCTTGGTTTTCAGCCTGACTGTTCGATTCAAAATAGACTTCACCAGTTCATTTTCCAGAGAGCATTTCTTTCCAAAACGGCTTTGCAGATCTTGCAAAGCTTTAGGGTAGTTGTCATAGGCTCTTGTTCGATGTTCAGCAAAAGGTCATCCACAGAATGTAAACAATCAGATTCATTTTCACTCAGCTTCCTCGATTGACACTCTGTTCTGAAGGGAGCAGCACCTGCAGCCATTAACTTCTCCAACTTGCTGCACACACCGTTTGCAGTTTTCTCCAGGAAATTTAATCTTCTCTTGGCTGCAACAAGTCTCGAATCATGGACAAGTTGATCCACTTCTGCGCACTTCTGCTACAAATTTTTCTTTGTGCTAAGACTTGTCTAAAGACTGCATCATTTTCTCAATGGACTCTTTGATGGAATCTTAAGATTCACGAATCTTTGCTAGCTATTCTTCAACATACGTTTAATTTGGCCAATGGCGAATTCTAACTTGTCAATCCTCTGGTCAGCATCGGTTGATCCTGAAGTAAACGTCTTTTTCTTTCTCACTTGACTGTGGGCTTTTAATTATGGTCCCTTTTTATGGCGTTGGCACAGGAGTTCTGTTTCCCTGTGTAGTATTTCATACATGTAAGTAGTTCTATGAGGTTTGGCTTCCTTCCGTCTTGTGATAATCCGAACGTGAAGCAGAAAGCCCTCAAATCCTCAATGCTCAACTTGCTTAATAATTCCTTCACCTCGTCTAAATCCTTTGGGACTGGTGAAAACCTTTCTGCTGTAGACATGTTCCTACTCCGCTACTTCGCTGGGCGACCAAAACTAAGCTAACCTCGCACTGCTACCAGTGTACAGGCCCAGTCGAGAGGAAGAACATTCCATTTTCACACCGAACATTTTTACTTTTGTTGGATTTATCTGAAGCAAAATTCTACTCCGACTTCAAAGCTCTACTTTGAACGCTTTTAGAGTTCTACTTCAAACGACATGTCACCTTTGTGAATTTAATATTTAAAGTGGCAAAACCAAGTATGCCACCTTTAAGATTGTAGGGTCAGCTTGCATGTAGGGAAGAGACCTTTGTTAGATTATTTTGTTGATACTCTTACAACAGTTGCGGTGCAGGCAATATTTGATAACTGATCAAAACTAAATTAGACTTATCAAATGAATGTGTTCCTAAATTTAGTTGGTGCACTCCATGTAAAGGACTAACTCCAAGGTTAGATGCCATCATGGGAGAAAAGGATGGATTACTAGAACTGGCGAAAGTTGATATAGATGACAATCCTGAATTGGCTATGCAATATAAAGTAAGTATTGATTTAGTATTGGGACATAAATTACTTATTCCTCCAACTTTCAGGCAACTTACATTACATTTACAGTAAAAACCAGCATAAAAGAACACATGTTTTGGGGTTTCAGGTTGATTTTGTTCTTATATATCAGGTGTGTTCTGCAAAATCAGCCTGAAACCGTTCTTAAGGTGTTCTTAAAATTGTTTCTAAAAATTAAATACTGCATAGACTACCAACAGATGAAATCAATGTGCAAGCGCAACATTTTAATTAATTAACGAATAGCTCATATATTGATCTACTTAGTGCTATACTTAGTACTGTACCATAGTAGGTTATTCTAANTGACCAAATTTTAGCCTGAGTGTTCTTAATCCACTTTTTCTTTTATGCGGGTTTTTTACTGTATTTGGAATATTGGCGTATTCCTCTGGTAGTCTGATGACTACCAAATACACGCTTACCTTTAAGTTTCATTAAAAGGGAGAAAAAGGAAAATCTATTAAGCTTTTTTGCTTAGTCACCTTTTTTGCTTCTTATCACCATGACATTAAAATGCCGCCTTTCTTTTCTTGCTCAGGTTACCGGGATTCCCACTGTTTTGGGAATAAAAAATGGCAAAGTTGTTGACAGCTTTACAGGACTCATAGAAAAAGAAGAACTTCGACGATTTGTGGAAAAACTGTTAAGTAACACTTCAAATACAGAACAGTGATCAACGAATGGGAGAATGATTACCCAAAATAATGTTTCCAGTGTAGGAAATGATTAACTTTGTCACCTTAAAAATAAACAAGTTTGTAAAGTAAGATTCCACTGCAATGGATGTGTGGTGTACATTCCTTTCTTAACACCATTTGGCTTCAGCCAAATTAATTTTGATCACTCAGCCGCTTGTTCTTAAGCCTGTGCACACAGGTCTACGACTACCTCTCACGCTGAAAAGTGACAAGTTCGACTATAAGTAACGACGCTTTGTAGACGTCACTTTATCAGCATGAAACGAAATACTAGACCAGTACAGGTTACTTATAGCACTTACTGTGTGTAAGTTAACGGCTGATAAAAAAAAAAATCACTATGTTTTGCTTTTTTTACTTCATGAACTTGGATTGTAAGACTTTGTATATTAAATACAAGGACGAGAAAATTGTGTAAATGTTTAGTAGTAAAGTATTTAAAGAAAGATCAGTCATGTCCAATATAGCCAGTCTGACTCGCTTCGTCTAAGGTAGTTGACGAATCAACTCGCCGAAAGTCAAATCGTATGTTAACATACCGGAAGTCGAGGGGCATGAGAAAATGACAAGCACAAGAAACTGACAGGCAACATGAAACTTCCTCGTTCTTAAAGCGTTAAACGGGTGCGGTTAAACTTAGCAAATAGGCATGATTCGCCCGGGTCGACTCGATTCGACTGAAGTAAAGTCGATCCGTCTCATCGAAAGTGGATTCGCAGAGAGGACAACGCACATGAACCTTAGAAAGACCACGTACTCCAACACACGCTGTATGTTCTAAAAGCGTCAGACCAACAACGCAGAGCCACTGTACTATGTTTATTCTTCGTTCTAAAAGCGTGAGACTACAAACAGGCTATTGCACAATGTATATTCTTCGTTCTCAAAGCGTGAGACCAACCCTCGGAAAGATGACGCAAATTTGGACTTTCTCTATTTAGTTACATACACTAACTGGATAATTATCTTTGAACTCTAGTTTAGAGTAAATTATAAACAACAATACTGTAATAGGCCTTATTCACGATAACCGCCATGATTGTTTTTACATTATAATGCAAATCAGGCACGTGATTTCTGAGAGGGCAAACAAGCTAAAATCGGCAAATTTCAGCTGGTTTCTTGTCATGTCTGAATTTTTTTCATATCCATTCTTTAGTTTCAGTATTGGGGTGAAAATATTCCAAGTTTTACAGAATTTCGGCGCTTTTATAAAAAGAAAACGGCTCGCGTAGTTAATAAGTCAAGTTATCACGAAACTTTTTCAAACTTAAATTAATATTAAAATCAGTCCATAACTTGGCTCCCAAATGTGATTTTGGTGCAGATACTTGACCATTGAGGCGAACCGATTTTCAGAAAAATGGGAACCATTTCAATGTTTGCCCCCAAGCGGACAACGTGGCTAATTAACAATTAGACCCGTGGCCCTTGAGGGCGAAGGGTCTAATTGTTTTAGTATCCCCCAACTAATCGGACAGAAAAGGCAATGATAAAGTTAGCAAATGCAAGTTGAAGAAATATTTCTTTGGGATTAAAAAACATTAAAACGAAAGAAAGCGTCACGCTCGATTGCGCCAATTTCGCTACTCGAGGACTATTACCAATAGTCCTCTAGTAGCGTAGCCAATTAAAATGCAGGAT